CTTTTGTAATTTTTTTTTGCTAAAGTTTTCTTTCTTTAGGTGGACTATATCTCAGTATGTTAATGGCTATATATCGTATTTACTATATGCTCCAACTTTGATTTTTTTGTATTTTTGTATTATTTTATAATTCTTTCTTAGATTTTTTTTTTTTTTTTGAGGCTTACGCCTCGCCTCATAAAGAAAAACCGCCTCAGTACTTTGTTTCGCCTTTTTAAACCTGGGTTCCTTGAACATACAACCCAATATTCATATGCTTCGTTGCATAGGCTCAGCTAAAGAGTATTGGTTAGAATCCCCTTGTCCAATGTTAACTCTAAGTACCATGGCTTTTTAAATTATTTTAGAGAATCTGCCTGAGTACCTTATCCATTCTATTGATTGAAGAACAGGTTTGGTGAAGGCATGACATGCCATGTCATGTTGTGTTTGTGAGTGTGCACATACACATATCAACACAGTTAATACCAAAAAAAAGTATACAGAGGAAGTAATAAGTAACGTTTAATTTGGTTGTTTCTACATTTTTACACAAGAAATAATCAACTAGCTTCAGAAGATGCAACCGACCTTAAATTCCTCAAAACTAAGTTTCGGAATGACTTGTGGATCACCACCACTGTCAACGCCATAAGTATTGTCTGGAAAAAGAGCCTGCAGAGAAGTATTATAATATTTAGCAAGATCGTCGCTGGTTACTCTTATACGACATGAATGTGCAATGGTTGCTTGTGACAAAGGAAAATATCATTAATCACATTTTTTTAATGCACTATCTGTATGCTCAGGTCATACAGTTGCCAAATTCAATATTAAACCAGTTCATGAATAAAAAAACAAAACCTGTTGAGATGCTCGACCTAGTATGCTGTCAGGCTGAGAATAAACACCTTTCATCTCATTGAAAACAACACCTGCAGTTGACCACAGATATAATTCTTGGCAATGTCAACAAGCTGAAAAGTTGCTTCGTAATAAATGAAATTTTTTTATTACCAATGAAGAAGCAAGGGGCATCATTATAAAGAGAATGAAATGTCATCTGGAACAAAATCTACAGGTGAAAAAAAAAAAGAATTAGATGTAACCTTTGTATGTTATGTCTTCTGAGGGGTCATTCAGTTCGTAATGCCAGCCTTCCTGTTGAAAGGTCTTGACGTCTTCTACACATCTTGGAAAAAAGACAGCATCTAAATATACATCGACCAAGTTATAGAAATCCTGTTTGACAACAACATTATTATATTGGTTCAGGTGAGATCTAGGAGAAATTTTACTATATTTTATTCAAAATAAAATAAAACCTTTGTATTTGTGGAAGCAACAGGATAACAAGTCCTATCAGGATATGTAAATGCATTCAGAAATGTATGCAAGCTCCCTTTCAACAATTCAACAAAGGGTTCTTTCAAAGGATATTTTCTTGAACCACACAACACGCTGTGCTCCAAAATGTGAGGGATTCCAGTTGAATCTTTTCTGCATTAACAACAATTAGGCCAGTTTGTCAGACTTAAATAGAATACATTAGAAGAAAATTATAGAGATGTTTAATAAGGACAACTAAACTAGCGACATCTGTGCTCACAAAAGCTATTTGCAGCATAACAAATTGCTCTAGCCACTCATCAGAAAAGGAGGAGAGGAAAGTGAAAAAAATCCACCAGATGACCACTCCCACAAAAATGGGATGCCACTATTCCATGGCACCTGTGTCACTGCACCATGCAGCATTATCTACCACTACTACCAAGGAAATTATTTTTCCCTTCCACTTTACCTTAAGCTGGAAAACAGTCAACCAGACACCAAACAATGAATAAGAAAACAATTTTCCTACGTAAACTAAGCAAATAAGAAAATCATTCAAGTGTAGCATACTGCATATGAGTAGCTAGGGAGCACATATTATTTATAAAAATTCACAGACTACCAGTCCAGAAAAACACTCAAATTTCCCTGCATATAGATTTATATCCAAATATATTACACATTTACATAGATCTTCAGTGACCTGAAAGATCTCTTTTAATTCAGAATTACATTGTGTATTCTATTATATTCTATTCGATCTCCACGAACCAATGCTACAAAGACTGACTAGATTAATTTTCTAAATTATGAGGTTTACATGAATTAATAATGTGAATGCATGAGTATATACAAGCAATGGAGTATACATGTCAAAATATTCAAGATGTGTACATATGTACTCACGGAGGAGTCCGGAAAACAATTCCAAAGACTTTATTCTCATCGTCATTCGACACGGACATGACCTCAGCTCCAGTCTTTTTATGCTTATACAAAACAGCTCTAGATTTACACTCTTCAACGAATTCCTCCGACACTTTCTCGAACCCGAGCTTCTCCGCCAAGTCATTATCCGCCACCAAAACCTCTAAAAAATTAAATTAAATCCAAAATCATATACAATTAATCACAGTATCTTGATCGTAAAAGACGTTAAAGGCACCTGGAGCTGACTGTATAGAAGATGTGGAGGTGGCTTGGACCGACAGACAAAAGTGTCTTTTCAACTGAAGCGAAGGACGGGTCGAGGTGGAGATGAAACGGAGATGATTGCGAAGAAGAGAGCGCCTGTGTACACTGGGGATAAAACGGTGTCGTTTTGGGGTGATAGAAGAGAGGCGAGAGAATCTGCGAACGGAGCGGGAGAATATTCCAGCGGAGGCGAGTGGAGAGGACGGAGAAGAAGAGGAGGAGATGGAGCGTAACACCGCTCTCTCCATTGGCGGCTGTTGAGAGAGGAAAATGTGTGTCGAGTGAAAGAAGATAATTTGGGAGAGTTGGGGTTTATGACAGAGAGGGAAAAATGAAAATATCAAGGTGGGGTGAGTGGTGGTGGATTGGGGGACAAGTTAAATGTTTGTATTTCCAAAATTCGTTGTTGAAAAATTAAATTAGCGGTCTAATATTTTTCTGGCGGAGCATTAGGCCATTTGCGAGCTTCTCCTCCTCTTATTTTTTTGCTTTTCATTCTCTTATTTATTTTTAAAAAAAATTGCACGTATTTTTATAAACAATTTTAGCCCCCGTTTGATGTGATTAAAATTATATTTTTAGTAAATTTTGATAGAAGTTAATAAAATATGTGATTGAAAAGTTGTGGACCCTATGAAATATGTGATTAAAAATAATTGTTGATTTTAACTTAAAGATCCATTTGATTGTAAAAGTGAAATTTGGGTGGAAAAAAAATGAATCTAGAGAATTGAATTACCTAATATTGTTTTTTTGGGAATTGTCAATTAATTATGTTTAATTGGTATAATTTTTCACCTGAAAAATGTTGAAAAATTGGATATTTTGGTGTTCGTTTGGCTTTATTTTTTTTAATTGAAATTGTCCATTAAAGATAATTTTTTTTTTATTTATAATTATCCATAAAATATGTTTTCATTGCCAAAAAATAAAAATAAATAAAAAACCTGCAAAACCAAGGAAACGGTAAGTGTGTGAAATTTTATTTCCAATTTTTAGGGATGACAACGGTTCGGTTCGGAGTCGGTTCGGTCAAAACCATAACCGCAACACCAAATATATGGTCATACCATAAACGCACCATAACCACGAAAG